CTTCCTTCCTTCCTTCCTTCCTTCCTTCCTTCCTTCCTTCCTTCCTTTCTTTCTTTCTTTCTTTCTTTCTTTCTTTCTTTCTTTTTCTGGGCCATTCTCTGTGTAATGTTGGCTGTCCTGGGCTCACTTTGTAGACTAGGCTGGTCTCGAACTCACACATATCTGCCTCCCTGAGCGCTGGGATTACAGGGGTGTGCCCGGTGATAAAGCACTTCTTGCTTTGCAATGTAAAAAACCGAGTTTGAACCCGAGAATCCACACCCCCCCCCACACAAAACAAAAACCAAAACAACAACAACAACAGAACTGGGACTGAGGCAGGAGCTGGCTCAGCATCTCTTTCAGAGGGCCTGCATTTGCATCGAGCACCTCACACTCACTTGTAACTCCAGTTTTGGGGGAGCTCTGATACACTCTTCCGGCGCTGTAGGCATTGCACTTTTGTGTACGTGAATGCACACAGATGCATAATAAATATTGAATAAATCTTAAAGAAAAGCAAATGCTGGCATGCTGGAAGAGCCTGCGTGTAGTCCCCGAGACGCCAAATGGGAGGCAGAGACAGGCAGACCTCCGGAAGCTCACTGGCTGCACAGCCTAGGTGACTTGGAGTTCTCGGTCAATGAGAGACCCTATCTCAAACAGAAGACAAAGGGCATCTGAGGAACGACAGCCAAGACTGTCTTCTGACCTTCATTTGCGCGTGCATGTCCCCCCTATTCAGTGCACCCCACACAAGCATTCTGTGTTAGCGTCTAGCGGCCCTGGAACCCTCAGCGGCGCGGCCTCTAATGAGTGATTTCACAGAGCTCTGCAATGTTGATGAATTTTAGTTTAACTTATTGAAAACAAATACTTATTCACAAAATCAATCAGAATGCCAGTGTAATTCGCGTGCTTTTGCTAGCTAAAAGGTGAGCTGGGTGTTCTGCTTAGATAGTGATTACTTAAAAACAATTCTAAGTAAAGGTCTAGCATTCACCCACTGGACGTGAGTTGTCTTCTGGTCTGCCTCTCCAATAGGCCTCTCGAGAGCAAGATCTTTGCCTTTGTTTACTGCTGTACCCCTCCATTCAGCATCATGCCTGATGTAAATCATAGTAGATACTCAATGAATACTTGTTGAAAGAAAGAAGGAACAAACAAAAGAATAACCATTTATGCTCTTTAGTGCCTGGTTAGAATCAGCTTCCACTATCAACTTGACATAAACTGAGTCACATGGGAAGAGGAAATCTCACCTGAGTAATTGCTCAGATCATATTGGCCTGTGGCTATGTCTGTGAGGCATTTTCTTAATCACTAGTTGATGTGTGGGGCCCAGCCCGCTGGGGGGCACAGTCCCTATCTGGGTGGCCTGAAGAATAACTGAGCAAGCCGGGGTCCAGCCAAGAAGCAACACCCCACAGTCTCTGCTTCAGTGCCTGCCTCCAGCTTGCTGCTCTGAGCTCTAGCCTGGCGTCCCCCCGTGATAGGCTGTAGCCTGTAAGCCAAATAAACCCAAGTTGCCTTTGGTCATGCTGTTTAATCACACCACTAGAAAGCAAAAAAAATCACATGTATTATGAGTTCCACATTTATGGTATAGTTACTTGAACTGAATAAAGTTGATCACTGAGAAACCAAGCAATTCATTCACAATTGTGAAAATATGCTGGTAGTCTCAAGCCTCAATAATGGATCATCATCATCATCATCATCATCACCTATTCAGCAGAAATGCTCCTGCGTCACAAGTTACTGAACTTTTTTTTTTTTTTTTCATTCTTTGAGAATAGGAACAGATTTCTTGGCATTTGCTTTGGGTAAAATTTTTATTCCTGTAGTCTTATAACCATCTATAGGTTCCGCTCTGAATCTACAGAAAACAAGTTGGGGCAACGCCTCTGTGAAGAGGCAAGACTAGGAAGCATTTTAAAAGCAAGTGGCTGGCAGACGTCAGTGCTCTGCTGCCTCAAACATATGTGACCAGGGCTTTGGAATGTGGCAGCCATCCTGGCTGCATAACAAATCTCCCTACCCACAGAGGCTTAAAATCAGCAATCCCCTCTTCTCTTTTCCCCTCCCCTCCCCTTCTTCTACTTCCTCCCTCCCTCCTTTCCTTCTTCCCTCTCTTCCTTCCTCAATCCCCGCCCCATCTGGGTCAGAAATTCAGGATGGGTACGAAAGGACTTTTCTGGCTTGGGGAGTTTCATGCTGTTGCAGCTGGTGAGTAGATGCAGCAATCCAGGGGACCAAAAGCAGCTGGGGACAGCTGAGGTCCCTCTTCACATAGTCCCTTGGGAAGAATGAAGATCTTTTTCTTAAAAAAAAGTTTATTTGTTTTTATTTTGTGTGTGTGTGTGTGTGTGTGTGTGTGTGTGTGTGCTTGTATCTGTACACCATGGGCATGCAGTGCCCACAGAGGCCAGAAGGGGGTGTTGGATTCTCTGGAACAGGCGTTACATAGGGTGTGAGCTGCCCTGGAGGTGTTGGGAATTAAACGGGTGTCCTCTGGAAGAGCAGTAAGTCCTCTTAACTGTGGGACCATCTCTCCAGAACCCCTACTTTTTCTTTAGACATTTGTCTGTCTGCAGAAATTTAGGTGGTTTCCCCATCTTAGTTATTGTGAACTGTGGGAGTACAAACATGCCTTTAAGATTCTGATTTCAGCTCTTTTGGACACATGTAATAAAAGTGAGCTTGTCCAAGTAAATGGTGGTTAGACTGCTTTTTTTTTTTTTTGAGGAACTTATACTTTTACTATTTCCCAAACCCCACTATTAGTACGAAGACTCCAAATTCCACCCCCAGCTCAGTACTGTTTTATTATCTTTTTCAGAGCAGCCGCCCTGACAGGTGTCAGATCAGCTCTGCTGGTGCTAACCTGCATTTTTATGATGACGGGTGATATTGAACACGTTTCCACATGCCCGTTGGATGTAGACCTTTTTCAGATGTAGATATCTGTTCAAGTTCTTGGCAGGTTTGTTTGTTTTGAGACATGGTTTTCTTATGCTACCCAAGATGGGCTTGAACTTCTAGATCCAGTGATTCTTCTGCCTCAGCCTCCTGCATAGCTGGGACAGCAGGGTTACCATTATGCCTGACATTTGCCCATTTTAAAATCAGGTTGTCTGGTTTTCTTCCTATTTCTCCTTTCTTGACAGGAATTCCTTACATATCCTAGATATTAACTTTTATCAGTTATAGTCTGGAATGTCCTCTCCCTCTCTTGTGGGCTGCCTTATCACTCTGTTGATAGTTCCTTTTCTATTATCTTTCCACTTGCGTTCACCTAGGACTTCCTTATAGTAAGGTAGCCATAAATTGGGTCTTTTCATAATGACTCAAGAACTCTGGTCTTTAAGTCCCAAAAGACAAAGTGGAATTGCTTCAGCTCCCCCTGCGTGGTGATGTCATGTCATTGCTCACCCTGCATTTGACTATGTTAGAGTTGGGTCTGGGGTCTTGAGAAAATGACCACACCATCCAAAGTATTTCAGCAGGACAAAAAGGTGTGCTTCTGCAAAGGAGTGCGCAGCCAGCTTTAATCAAACAGGCAAGCATGCCCTCCAGGAGTCCCACTAGATTTTTATTTCTAACTCTGAGAGGTCCTGTGCTCACTCTGAGGGGTCTTGTGTCCTTATGCTACTGGCTAAATCAAAGCCATGCAGCTGGTAGGACGAGAACAGGATGCAATATTGAGCACAGAATTTGACCTTAGAAAGATGCTGACAATGAGGGATTTCTGCCAGGTGGTGTCTTTAGGAAGTTCTTTAAAGACAGAGCTAACTGTATCTCCTTTAAACCTTTAGAAAAGACCACATGCCATCCCAAAACTTTACCAACCTCCCACAAACAGAGGACCTATAAGCCCCTCCATGTAGAGTCCTAGAGAGTTAGACTGGCTTCTAGTTGTGGGGATGTAAATGAAGCATGTGGTATAGACTGAATGTATCCTCTCAAGTTTTAGTATGTTGAAGTATTACCCTTCAGCACCTGAGACTGTGACATTATGTGGAATAAGCTCATGGTAGACATAATTTTGTTAAGATGAAACATCACCAGCCTGGAATCTAGCCCAGTGCGATCTTATGTCCTTATAAAAAAGAGAAATGTGAGCTGGGGAGGTGCTCATTCTTAAAGTGCTCACCAGGCAGGCATGAGGACCCAAGTTAGGTTACCAGAACCGAATGAAAAGCTATGTGTGAGACGCACACTTGTAATTCAAGCAATGGGGAAATGTGATGGAAGGGTCCCTGGGGCTTGATAGCCAGCCAGGTGAGGTATTCAGCAAGCCCCAGGTTCCAGTGAGAGACTATGTCTCAGCACAACAAAGTTCCTGCAGAACTACGAAGGTCCATACCTGCCCTACACTTACATGCACACACGCACTCACGCACACACATGCCAGTTTACCAGTTCACGCACCGTGCCAATAACAGGGACACCGACAAACACACGCAGGGAAGATGCCAAGTGAGGGTGAAGGAAGACATCCTTTCTGTGAGCCAATGAAAGCCAACGATTGCCAGCGACCACCAGAGAGAGGAACATCCGGCAGATTCATCCTCACAGTCCTGAGGAACCAAGCCTGCCCACACCTTAATCTTTCACCCCCAGCCTTTAAAACTATGAGGCAGAGACAGGGCTGGAGAGATGGCTCAGCAGTTAGGAGAACCAGCTGTTCTTCTAGAGGACCGAGGTTCAGTTCCCAGCACCCACACTTCAGCTCATGACCAATTGTAACTCTGGGCTTAGGGATCCAATGCCTTCTTCTGGCTGCCCTGGGCACCAGACATACACAGCACACATAAAATTTAAAAAGAACTATGAGAAGAAACTTCTGTTCTCCCGAATTATAGTATTTTGTTAGATCTCTAGAAAGCTCGACCAATGCAGTGGAAAACGTCATGGACTTTTTTTTGCAAATTTTGATCTATTCCGCAAATCATCAGGGAAATATCTGTGTGTTCTCTGTGAGACTTCAATTCTATTTCAACCCTGTTTTACCTCTATGGTTTTCATGGCTTAAAAGTGTCACTTTGATAGTTCTTTGTAGGGCTTTGGTTGGTGTTGTTGAGACAGGGTCTTGCCGTGTAGCCCTCTGCACTGGTATTGACCACATGGTACTCATTGTCCTCTAACCTGTGCCAGTCCAGCCTCAGCGTTCTAAGGATACAGGCGTGCTCGACTATGCCCTGGGACACTTAGCTTTGGCCTGTGTTCTCCTATTAGATTGCTCGACTCTGCAAGTAACCTTTTCTTTTTTAATTTATTTAATTTTATTTTATGTGCATTAGTGTGATGGTGTCAGATCCCTTGGAATGGGCATTACAGACAGTTGCGAGCTGCCATGTGGGTGCTGGGAGGTGAACCCAGTCCTTTGGAAGGGCATACAGTGCTCTTAACCACTGGGCCATCTCTCCAGATCAAGTAACCTTTTCTTAACCTCTCTCTAGGTCTTATCATGAGGGGATTGATGGAAGTGAAGGCAAATGACTTTTACTCGCCTTGCCAGCATTTTAATGTCACTGTTGCTCTGACAGTTGATCCTACGAAGGACTACAACACTACTTGCACCCCTGAAACCCTTCCGGAAGAAGTCGCAGCTGTAGAAGAAGCCCCAGCCAGGGAAGAGTCTTTAAACCACACTTGTAGAATTATGAGAAACATGGACAATTGCACACACATTTCCTTGCTCCTAGAGATGGATGTAAAATGTAAGTTTGAAAGAAAAGTGTGAGGGAAAGGGACAAGTTGGGTATCCATACATAAAATTAAGAAAGGGCTATGAAATTCACCAGAAGGCAAAGAGCTGACAACTTTCACTTCTGAAATAATATAGCCTGAAAGAATATTAATCTTTTTATCTGGTTACTTTTCTTTCAAAATGTGTTTTTATGGGACTCAGTGATAACCCGAGAGAGAGGCGATATGTCTGGTTGTGAGGGACACTAGAAAGGGACCTTAGAAAGATCTCCTGGCCTAGGATAACTGAAGCGTGTTTGGATCTGTGCTCCATGAAGCCCCACACACCTCAGTGCTCACCGGTGTTCTTCTAAAAGGTGAATATCCATACACATGGTTCAAGTTGGCTTCAGCCACATCCTCACTCGGCGCTGATACAGCCAGTGTGGAAGGCGCCTTCTGATGTGATGCCGTGCAGATTTGGCACTTGGAGTCACTGGCTGATTCTGAGGAGAAAGACGGTCAGACATATCTAAGTTCTGCTCAGGGCAGATTAAGTTCCTAACTCTCTGCTCTGAGCCCCAGAGTTAATATTTTCTGCTAAGCACTGTGTGCCCACCTCGCCCATTAAAATCTATTATTGGAAAGCATCTTATGACATATCCCCTCCAAGAGTGCCTTTTGTATGTCAAGCCCCATGCTGGATGGGGCCAGGGTCAGCTGAACACAAACTAGAGAAAGGGATCACACACACAAGTGCTACGACAAGACTGTTTGCTAGGCATTTTGTACTTCAAAAAGATGGAGGCTTTTCCCATTACTTTAGAATGCTTTTCTACAGTTTAATCATTTTAAAGGTAAGGTGGTTTTTAATTGTGTTTACAGCAAACAGATATATTGGGTGTAACTTCCCCAAGTGATACAATTGGCTGGGCACCAAGGGTTCAGTTGTAGGAGTCTCTGGTGACGTTTTATTTTTAAGCTGTAACCGGCTGTTTCCTGGCCACCATCAGCTCAGGCAAGTCGTCTGTGCCCGGCTGCCTTCCCACCAAGCCCCGTCTCTGTACTCTTCTCACGGAACCTCTGTTAAGCTGAGGGCATATCTGCGGGCTGGGTGGCCCATGACCAAGAGGATTAATGGCACACAACCCTGACTCAAGGGCTGCTCTGTGGTAGACACACTAAGAAAATAGATATTGGCATCACCTGGAAGTGAAATTAAATGCCAGGATTTTGATTTAAAGGGATCCCTGGGAGCCACTTGGCCGATTTTCTCACTTAGCAGCTTCATTTAATGTGGTGGAAAAGTGTTCAGGAGAGCAAGTGACCCTGTTCTAGTTAAGGCTGCAAACAGGTTTTCCGTGAAAGGTGTGCACCACAGCATTGCCTTTTATCTGATATACTGTCTCCTTGTGTTGGACACACACACACACACACACACAGTGTGAGGTTGCATGTCGTGGCACATGAGTGGAAGTCAAAGGCAACTTTCAGGAGTAGGTTCTGTCCTGCCTTCACGTGAGTTACAGAGACAGGCTCACGTCTGCCCTGTATGTGTAGAGCTAGAACCCAGCGTGTTGGCGAGTGCCTGTGCCCGCCACCAGGCTTTCATTGATTTTTATAGCGCCTAATTCTTTTCTTTTCTAAATGTTTACAGCCATTACTTGTCCCATGAAGATGACTTGGTACATTTTGGTGCTGTTAGTTTTTGTGCTTGGTATCATCCTTCTGATCCACAGAATGCTTCAAGACCACAGGAGAGTGCAGAGGCGGCAGAGTAAGTGCCGAGAGAGAAGCGCATTGCAAGGGTTGGCCTGTGAGATTGCTGGGGGAAGTTCGTGCAAGCCTCAGTTGGCCAGATTTCTTTTCTTACGTTCAGTTGGCCACTTACTGTGTACCTGTTAGGTGTAAATGCTGGTTCTAGATAATCTAAAGATTGCAAGTGTAGGGAAGACACCAGCACCGGCATTTGTATGCCTTTCTCCAACACAAATGGGCAAATGGACAAGAAAGACAGGAGGAAAGGAGTTGTCCAGATGGTGGCTGAGAGGGCTCAGCGGAAGTGAGGGCAAAGAGAGGCAGACAGAGACATAGTGACACTTGCTGAGTAGAGCAGAGTGGCCTCAGGGGACAACATGAGTGTGAACAATCCTCAGTAGGTCTGAGGGTGTCAGTAGAGCTTGCGTGAGGCAGAACGAAAGGGAGTCTTTAAAGTCAGGATGGTAGGAGCAGCGTAAACAGCTTTTATAAGTAGTATGATGAGACGTTCACCTACCAGAATGGATTGTGTGTATGTGTGCGGATGCTAGCCGCACATCAGACCCGACCAGCTGTTCTGTAAGTAGTTGGTCTCTTGAGGACAGTACCAAAAGCCTCACCATGATAATAGGGTCTGAAGACACAGACTCAAGTCAAATGCTCACATTAGCACCTATAGCTTTGAGCCAGTTGTCATCACTAGGCAGGGCTCTTCCGTCCTACTTGGCTCTGCCACATGGAGCTGGGGTAAAGGTAGAAATAAAGAGTTGAACAGTGTCAGGTCACAGCTAGTTTTCTCTCTCTCTCTGACACAGAGTTTCTCTGTGTAACAGCCCTAGGTGTTCTGAAACTTTTTCACCTGGAACTCACCAGCGATCCACCTGCCTCTGCCTCCCAAGTGCTGGGGTTAAAGGTGTGGGCCACCACACCTTTCTTTTCTTTTCTTTTCTTTTCTTTTCTTTTCTTTTCTTTTCTTT